TCGGCGCCCTCGGCAGCCCCGCCGGCGGCGGCCTCGGCGGCGGCCTCGGCTGCGGCCCCGCCGGCGGGAGCCTCGGCGGCCCCGCCGGCGGAGGCCTCGGCGGCCCCGCTGGCGGCGGCCTCGCCGTCGGCGGCCTCGCCGCTGGCGGCCTCGCCGCTGGCGGCCTCGACGCCGGCATGCTCGCCGGAGTCGGCTGCGGCGGCCACTGCGTCGACGGCCTCGGCGTCGGCGGCCTCGGCGTCGGCGGCAGCCGCCAGAGCAGCGGCGGGTCTGTCCAGCTGGGCCTCGGGGGCGAGGGGTGGGGATGCGAAGATGACGACGAGGGGGAGCCGATGATGCTGATGCTGCTGATGACGATGATGACGATGATGACGATGATGATGATGATGATGATGATGATGATGATGATGATGATGATGATGATGATGATGATGATGATGATGATGATGATGATGCTGAGGATGCTGATGATGCTGATGATGCTGATGATGATTATGATGATGATGATGATGATGCTAATGATGCTGCTGCTGCCGATGATGCTGCTGCTGCTGATGATGATGATACTGATGATGATGGTGATGATGATGACGATGATGATGCTGTTGACGATATTGATCCATACGATGATCCATCTGATCATGATGATGCTGATGATGATGATGTTGATGATACTGATGATGCTGATGATGCTGATGGTGATGATGCTGCTGATGATGGCGACGATGATGATGACGATGATGCTGCTGATGATGATGAGAACGACGACGACGACGACGGCGATGATGATGATGATGCTGATGCTGGTGATGCTGATGATGATTGTGATGGTGATGGTGATGGTGATGCTGATGATGCTGATCATGACGAAGGTGATGAAGGCGATGCTGATACTGATGCTGATGCTGATTATGATAATGATGCTGCTGCTGAGGATGATATGGTGGTGATGACGACGGCGACGGCGACGACGATGATGCTGATGATGATGCTGATCATCATCATCATCACCACCATCATCATCATCATCATCATCATCATCATCATGACGATGACGATGGTGATGATGATTCTTTTTTTTGCCTTTTATTAATACTAATTACTATTATTCTTACTACTATTATTATGATTCATTAGTATTAACAATTTGATGATGATGATGATGATGATGATGATGATGATGATGACGGTGGTGGTGGTGGTGACGACGACGACGATGACGACGACGACTCAGGATGGCGATGGCGACGACGAGGGGGAGGAGTTGATGGCAATGAGGGGAAGGCTGCGAGGATGACGATGCGAGGACGACGAGGAGGCAGGCAAGGCAGGGGGGAACGACCGAGGGCAAATAGCCTAACACCGATGGGGACTGAGGGTGCAGACAAAATGGGAAAGAGGGGGTGGATAATCATAGAAAGATGATGGTAACGATGTTGGGGATGATAGGCGGGATGATGGGAATGAGGAGGGATAATGCACATTATGATGAGAGACCAGATCACAGAGAGGGGTTTTGATGACGACGATGAAAAGCAATCACGGTCAGTGCTTACGACAATGATGAGCACCATGATGTGAGGGGGCGTCTGATGTCAATGATGATTGAGGGGGGCCGCGGCAGAAGATGGAGGAGAAGGGAGCAGAGGAGAGGCAAGGGGAGGGGAGACGACGATCGATAGGGGGGAAGTAAACAACGTGGAGGGGAAACGATGGAGCAGGGAGGATGAGGGGGCCATGCTGCTGTGGGGGCAGAAAATGTCAAAAGCAGTTCTACGGAAGCCAGAGGGACCCCCAACCCCTCAGGCAAAGACGTGGGCAGCCAGAGCGGCCAGCACGGCGGCCAAGCCTAGGCCGAAGCGCGGCCTCGCGGCAGACCACGTGCACTGCATGCGCTCACTGATGACCGGGCCCACCTGGGTCACGATCTCGTCCGCGGACTCCTGCAGCCCAGCGCACTGAGTTGTCGCCAGCGACATGAGGTCCTTGACGAGGTCGATCGTCTCGGACGTCATAGGGTAGATCTTGCTCATGTGCGGCAACATCAGCTCGGACATCTGCCATATGTTGTGCAAGGAGGTGTGCATGGTGGCGAGCTTCATGTTGTAGTCCGTGATGTTGGACATGAGCCCGGAGATCTCGCTGCACGCCGCGGCCTGGCTCGCGGCCGCCAGGGCGGTCGCGTTCACGCGCAGCGGGACCGCCTGCTCGCGCAGCTGCTTGACGACAGGCAGGAAGGCCTGCCGCAGCTCCCTCGGCATGACGACGTTCAAATCCCTGGCAAGCTTCTGCGCGTCTGCGTGCATGGACTTGACACGGAAGGACGCCTCGTGGAAGTAGCGCGTCATCAGGAACGACAGCTCCACGTCAGACGCTCTGCCGCTCGCCAAGGCAAACTTCGCAGTCTTGCGGCGGGTGATGTTCAGAAAATCCTGGACGGTGTTGGCGATCTCTACCTTAGCCTTGTTGATACGCTTCATGAAGAGCGGGTTCTCCACGGCCTTGGGAAGGGCCATCATCACCTCGACCATGATGCCCAGAGTAACCTCGCCCATCATGCCACCCATCTCGTCGTTCTGCTTTGCGCCCATGAGCATCTGCGCCTTCTTAATCATCGCCTCCTTCGCGGCGCGATGAGCCTCCAGCTTGGCCAGCCGCTCGTCCTCCTTCGCTCTCTTCCTGTCCAGAATGACCTTACGGCGCTTCTCCGCCTCCTTGCGCAGATCCTTCATGGCGAGTGTGGCCTCTTTCTTGGCGAAATCAAGCTCCTTCTGTTTCTCCTTGAAATTGTGGAGCACCCGTTTCAGGTCGGCGGTCTTTTTCTTGAAGTCCGTCTGCAGGAGCGGGATGATCTGGTCAAGGGAGGCAGTCAAATTACTCTTGGACCTCTGCGTCTTGTTGCCATGGCGCCACTTGGGCCTGCCCTCCAGCATAACTTCGATCATATCCTCCAGCTCGACGTCCACCCCGAGCTCTTCCCCCCGCTCCGCGAAATCCTCGAAGCCAGCCAAAAGGTCGTCATCGCGCTGAAGCAGGCTCAGCCTGGGGACGTCGGCGGCCAACGATGACCCAACCACGGCGATGCACGCGAGGACGCCCGCTCGCGCCATGGCTCCCGAAGTGCAAGATTCTGTACACAGGTCTGTCCTTGAATATTGGGGGGGTTCGAGCCCCCAGTGCGAACCAAAATGGCTCGAACACAAAAAGGCTACATACACAAGGCGAGTGCCGGGTAGAAATAGCAGGTACAAGCAATAGAAGTGGCAATTCTAGCAACGCAGTCGTAGTAACCGTAGTGGTAGTGGTAGTGGTAGTGGTAGTGGTGGTGGTGGTGGTAGTAGTAGTAGTAGAAATAGTAGTGAGAGTTGTAGTAATAGCAACAATGCTGCTAATCGCAATCGTCGTGGTAGGAGTAGTAGTAGTAGTAATAGTAGTAGTGGTAGTAGTAGTAGTAGTAGTAGTAGTAGTAGTCGTAGCAGTAGTAGTAGTAGTAGTAGTAGTAGTAGTAGTAGTAGTAGTAGTAGTAGTAGTAGTAGTGGTACTAGTAATGGTAGTAGTAGTAGTCGTCGTAGTAGTACCAGTAGTAGTAGTAGTAGTCGTCGTACTAGTAGAAATACTGGTAGTACTTGTACTAGTATCAATTGAAGTCGTAGCCGTAGTAGTCGCAGTAGTAGTAGTCGTCGTCGTCGTCGTCGTCGTCGTAGTAGTCGAAATAACCGTAGTAGTGGTCGCAGTAATTTTAGTAGTAGTAGTAGTAGTAGTAGTAGTAGTAGTAGTAGTCGTAGTTGTAGTAGTACTAGTAATAGAAGCAGTCGTAGTCGTGAACATAGACGTAGTCGTAGTCGTAGTAGTAGTAGTAGTAGTAGTAGTAGTAGTAGTAGTAGTCGTAGTAGTAGTAGTAGTAGTAGTAGTAATACTAGTCGTGATAGTAGTAGAAGTAGTAGTAGTAGTCGTAGTAGTAGTATAATAATAATAGGTTGGCGTAGTCGTCGCCGGAATACTAGAAGTAGTGATGGCAGTAGCAGCCGTAGTAGTAGTAGTAGCAGTAGTAGTAGTGGTAGTAGCATTAGTAGTGCAGTAGTAGTCGTAACAACACTACTACTAATAGTAGCAGCAGTTGTAGTAGAAGTGATGATACTACTGGTACTAGCGGTAGTAATAATAATCGTAGTCGTCGTCGTAGTAGTAGTAGTAGTAGTAGCAGTCGTAGCGGTAGCAATGGCAGCAATAGTAGTAGTATTAGTAGTAGTAGTAGTAGTAGCAGTAGTAGTAATAGTAGTAGTAGTCGTAGTAGTAGTAGTAGTAGTAGTAGTAGTAGTCGTAGTAGTCGTATTAGTATTAGTAGTAGTAGTAGTAGTCGTCGTAGTAGTAGTAGTAGTAGTAGTAGTAGTAGTAGTAGTAGTGGTGGTGGTGGTGGTAGTAGTAGTAGTAGTAGTAGTAGTAGTAGTTAGTAGTAGTAGCAGTAGTAGTAGTAGTAGTAGTAGTAGTAGTAGTAGTAGTACTAGTAATAGTAGTCGTGGTAGCAGTAATGGTAGCAATAGTCGTAGTAGTAGTAGTAGTAGTAGTAGTAGTAGTAGTCGTAGTAGTAGTAGTAGTAATAGTTGCTGTCGAAGTAGTAGTCGTAGTTTTAGTAGTAGTAGTAGTAGTCGTAGTCGTCGTAATGGTAACCGTAGTAGTACTGATAGCAGTAGCAGTAGCAGTAGCAGTAGTAGTAGTAGTAGTAGTAGTAGTAGTAGTAGTAGTAGTAGGAGTAGTAGTAGTTATCGTAGTAGTAGTAGTAGTAGTAGTCGAAGTAGTAGTAGTGGTAGTGGTAGTAGTAGTGGTAGTAGTACTACTGGTAGTAGTAGTAGTAGTAGTAGTAGTAGTAGTAGTAGTAGTAGTAGTAGTAGTAGTAGTAGTAGTAGTGGTAGTAGTAGTCGTTGGAGTAGTAGCAGTGGTAGAACTAGCAGTAGTAGTACTAGTAGTACTAGTACTAATACTAGTACTAGTAGTAAAAGTAGTAGTAGTAGTAGTCGTAGTAGTCGTAGTAGTAGTAGCAATCGTAGTAGTAGTAGTCGTAGTAGTAGTAGTAGTAGTAGTAGTAGTAGTGGTGGTAGTAGTAGTAGTAGTAGTAGTAGTCGTAGTACTCGTAGTAGCCGAAAGTAGTAGTCGTAGCCGCAGTAGCCGTAGTAGTAGTAGAAGTTAGTAGTAGTAGTAGTAGTAGCCTGTAGTAGTAGTAGTAGTAGTAGTAGTAGTCGTAGTAGTAGTAGTAGTAGTAGTCGTCGTCGTAGTAGTTGTAGTAGTA